TTTTTTTCCAATCTTTGAGGTTTGACTAAAAGTTGAATAAAGTTTGAGTTTAAATTAATATCCAAGCTTTTCTCAAGTAGAGAACTGAGATAAGTTTGCATACAAAAAATTTGGCCTTTTGTTAGAGAATGGGATATGTATTGGATCTCCACTTGACTTTCATCCCAAATGTTTATTGGGTGTACTTCAAAGGCAGCTTTGTTCGATAGTTAGCACCCATATTTTTTGTCTTTACTGAAGGTTGCGCGTATTGAGGGCGCTCCATTTTTTATTGTATCCAATCCAAAAGTAGCACACAGAGTTCAGAAAGATTTTCTCCCCAAATGCTAACCTCTCTAAAGCCTATGGGTTATAACTTTGACTTCCAGTGAAATTTCCACCACAGAAAAACGTCTTACCTTCAAAGTCTAATTTGAAGAAGGTTCCCATAGTGTAAAGTGTGAAATTAGTGTGACACGTGCGGTCGGAGGGTTGCTATGCACTAAAGCTCCTGCTAAGATCAACACCACCACCAGCACCACTAACAAAACAATAATTGTCAGGCCATAATGCTGCTAAACGGCTTACTACATGGCAGTGAGCCCAAAAGGAGCAGGACATTTGCTCACTACAGCATTTCACTTGCTATTGCTTAGCGGTTAAGCAGCGTGCGAAATAAGTAGAAAAAACTTGCTTCAAAGGGTTGAAATCGAGAGCTTTCTCTCCCTATACATGACTCTGGGGATACACGCACGTTTTCGATGGCGCAGCGAGGATTTATGCCGCATATAATTATGAAAGCAATTTTTTATGTACATACATACATATGTATATGATTTTGGCCACGTGTTTATGGTCAAATTATTTAATCATGATTTTATTAAAAACTCACAGGGGCTGTGTAAATGGCTTGTGACTTTCGGGCATCGTAGTCAAGTGTTGACTTTTCATATTTAAACCGAATTTCAAGCAATAAATTGTATGCCAATAGTGCAATGTGCACTTCGTGGCCGATTTTCTGTTCTGTAGGATCCATTTTCGGTTCCTTTGGAAAGATTTTAAGTTCCTTTTACTTATTTTTTTGGTTATTCTGAGATTATTTTCCGGTTCTTCTGGAACCGTTTTTCGGGTATTTCGCAATCGAATTTCGGTTCTTCCGGAACCTTTTTTTTGGTTCTTTTGGAATGGAGTTTTGGTTTTTCGGTTCTTTTTGAATCGAGTTTCAGTTCTTCCCGAACCCTTTTTCGGTGCTTTTTCAATCGAGTTTCCGGAACTCTTTGGCGGTTCTTTTGGAATCGTGTTGAGGCTCTTTCAGACCGTTTTTTATTTCTTTTCAAATCGAGTTTCGGTTCCGTTAGAAACATTTTTTCGGTTTTTGTTGCTCGGTTCTGTGTATCAATATTATGAACACTCTCACAAAGTAGCAATTATATGAAAGTTACTTTCCGCTCAAAACTGCTCTTCTCGGTACGCACACTTACGGGTATGTTGTTAGAGAAAATTATCTATCTTCAAGACTTCTTTCGACGCTGTTCTAATGTTTTTATGCGCTTCAGAAGATCTACACTGACGCTATACGAAATCAATTCGTTGGCTAGAGCAGGATGTATATAGGTATATAGTACATAAATACATACCTTACATTTTAATATTTTTCGTTCTAATCTCTTAATTCAAAAAGCATAAATATACATTTCTATAAAAGTATAAATCCTCGACGCTTTTATATTTTTTATTACATCATTGGTAAAAAAACATTAAAAAATTTCTTTCTTGCATCAATAATAATTTTTATTATTATTATAGCTGGGTCCAGGAAGCGCGCGATTGCTATTGTAGTTATTATTGTGCCCATTATAATTTGAAATCGGCTCTTTAACCACGTGTGTTATCTTCTTCTCATAAGTATGCGTTATGGTATTTTTCGTAGCGCGTGTAGACTCTCGATAGCTAACCGTTGTTTTTTGGGTCTGGTTGCCATTGCCAGTGTAATATACCATGCGGTTGTTCATTTTTGAAGCCTGAAAAGAACGGAGAAAAAAAGACAACAAATGATTATAATTAGAGGAACTTTGGAAAAATAATGTGTACTATATTTTTGCGCTGTATGCTTCTATAACTATTGAATTTCCGAAGCGTTAAAAGTACTTAAAAATTATTTCACTGCAAAAAACATGCTTACGAATAAGTTAATGGCGTAGTTGATTACGTGAAATTCGGTTGAGTTAGATTATTATAAACTTAAGCCCTCATTTTTGGTAGAGAATGCTGTGAATCTCGACAGCTTTTCTTATCGTCTTCTAACGTTAGTAGAGAAATTGTTTAGAGCTTGGCTCATTTTCTAATCATGCTCTAATTTTAATGATTGCTGGGCTGAACTAATTTTAAGAAAAAGTGCAGCACCCTGAAGCGAATTGAATGTAGTAGGCCTAATCCTGATTGCAGCCCCTGTGGCTAGACTTGCGAACTATGTATTCAACTTGTTGTTGTTGTTGTAACAGCATAAAAATTCCATGAAGAGTTTTTGGTGATATGAATCTGTGTCGTTCCAGCCAAGTATAACCGGCTATCATGGAAACTGGTTCCTCTTGATTGTTGGGCTTCGAACACTTCTATCCTCCACTTGTTTGAATGGATGGTTCCCTTTTTTGACAGTTCTACCGGAAGTCTCAAAGTATACTATTTTTATATTTAACTAGAAATCGGTATCTGTTCCTTGTACGATCCACTCACAGTCTTTGCAACCCTATAACCCTGTGTATGTTTCCACTCATTATCTGCACAGCGTTTCAAGGATAGATCGCAGTATCGATTGATTTCCTGTAGAGCAATGGGCATGTCTATCGCTACACAGACGTCTAGACCTATATTTTCTTTGACTAGTTCTTCAGCACTTTCGTTACCTTCAAGACCTTTGTTGGGTGAACGGGTTTCTCTATTACTAACCTTCCAATAGCCTCCTTACATTCTAAAGGGGTATTCGAGTAGGTTGTACGTATATATGTATGAAAGTAGTGCCTTAGTGATTTCCTGATTGTCAATATAAATGGCGGTATTCCCGGATTGCATGGTAAAAAACCGGTTTTCCTATGGAACAGCTTTGCAAACCGTGCAAGAGCTTTGCTTGACTGCGAGAATACCTCTATTGTGTATCTTATTATGTATAGTTTTCTGCAGTAACTCTGCCAACTTCTTAGCGAAAATTTCAGCTTAATATTTTCCACAGTGATTCGGTACTTTAAATGATCAGTACTTTTCCAGTTCAGAGTAGTCAACCGCACCTCCTACTCCATTTAGTAATCTATCATAAGTATATCTTCGTCGTCTGCATGGTTTAAAAGGAATCACGGTGAGGTGGATTACTAAATACCTCACGCAAATCATCAGTGGCCACGGCTGCTTTAAAAAGCTCTGGGTCCTATCGTGCTATGAATGATTGAATGCAAAGAAGTGTGGAAGGCGATCTGCAGTGTATCAGCAGAAATTATGCAGCAGTTGCGGGTAGCCGAAAAGCTACGACGTAGAAACAAATGGGAACTGCGACCAGAGATAGAGCCTAGTTAACTTTTAAAGGGCGGACTGGGACTAGGAACCAAGATTCCCGACGTTCGTACTGAGATGACTGACATTGTCCATATGGACTTTTTCGAGCAAGTTGCTAATCGGCCTCCTGAAAGAATACTTGACGGTGGTGACAAGGGAGAAACCCGGACGACAAGAGTTGGTTTGCTGGGTTAAGGCTTTCAATGCTTTCCATCTCTATAGCATTTGCACAGCAGCTCCTTGTCCCTTGATGATAACACTCCTCGTTTTGGTGTACCCCTCTATACGTCACGCTTAATCGTACTCAACCGTCATTGCGCCGAGATCTGCCTAACAAGTTTATCGTACAATTTCTTAGAATGTGAAATGCCCCTTGAGACATTTTTAAACACTCCAGCTATGTATCTTGGAAGACTCAAAGCGTATTTCGCATTTTCTATGAGTCCGTCTAACGAGAATGAGCAGAGCAGTGTCGAGTGAACTGTATTTGGTGTGCTAGCTTTCGATAAAAACCACTCACCTAAATTCTGCTTCACGTGCAAGTTGAGCTTTATTATACAAAAATTTAATAGGATATAAAACTGCATAGCAAAATATTTTCTCGAGAAAAGTTATTGAAAATTTCTTGCAATTTTGTTGAATTTTTTCGAGTTTCTTAATTTTTGGAAAATTTTGCAATTCGGAATTACATGATGGGCCTTCACACCGAGCTCGGTACTCGGTAACTCGGTGTTCGGTCATTTTGTTGCATGTATTTTGTTTGTGTTACCGAGCACCAAGCTTACATAGGTGTGAAGACACATATGGTTTTTGTGAGATAAAGAGCTATAATTTCATAAAAAATAAATAATGAGCATTAAGTACTTTCACAGTCACAACCGAACCTTTTGCTTTCGCGCCTTTGGGCTCCGGACTCTATGGTTTCCTGCTGGGCAGTATGCATTGCTTATAGCGAAATAAGCAATAATTACTATTTCTTGCTTGCACTAAGAAGCCTTCTCATAATCGTTTTACATACCTAAGCATTTTATTTTTCTTGGGAAATATTTATAGAAATTCAAAATCCAAAAAAAAAAAAATATAATAATAAGCAAATTCAAATAAGCACATCAATAGCAGGGCGATCAAATTTCAGCTATACGAGAACCTACATTAAGGTGACCTATAAAAAAGGGTAAGATTACGAAAATTAAGTTACGTATGAAACATGGAAATGGAATTGGGCCGTAAATGGAGGGAGGAAACGGCACCCTTTTCGCCTTCAAACGCCTGGTAAATTTTATGGGAAGTTGTCTTTTCCTAACCATAACGTAGGCGGTGGGTTTTATTTTAATTTTTTGTTCGGAGGGATCGAAGACTTTTGCGAATGAGATGAGTCGAATTTGATTATTTTTAAAATTGAGCATTAAAAAAGTATTAGTATTATTTATTACTTAAAATAAAAAACTTTTGGTCGGTTGTTACTGAAATTTAAAATCATATCTCTGCAATCGGAGCCTAGTAGTTTAAATCGAGTACTTTTTATCGACACTGAGTGCAAGTATCGGTAACTTTTGAATGTCCGGTATCAATGCAGTCTGACACAGAGTGGCAGGGTTTTGGGCCCTAGTCAATTTGCACACCAATTGATCACTAACGAATTGCAATTAGGAAAGACGTCAGACTATTTGGTAGCCAAGCTTGACTTCAACACTAACGTAGTAATACCTGGTAGTGACTTGAAGCAGGTGGTCAGGTATACTTACAACCAAACATACAAACTTCTGTGATATCAAGAAAACTCTGGTCTGACAATAACCGAACAAGGAGCTCGAAACTGCTTAAAAGGTTAAGGGCCGATAATTCAATATCTGGTTAACACTAACTACAGATTAAATATCGTTATCGCCGTTGTCCTATATGTTATATGTTATGGAGTCGATAACGAAGTTTAACTTGCAGACATCCAGAATACCTAAATAGTAGCAACCAACGCGTGGCACCAGGCAATCTGGTGGCAAGAATAGGCTTCCTGTGTGAATGCTCAGGCCTTGCGGATATTAAATATGAAACACTAGGAAGGCATATAGTTACAAAACTAACAGTTCTTTCAGGAGTTACTTAAAGCAAAGTCCTAATGAGTGTATCGTATAGTTTGTGTGCATTCAGAATATATTTCATGAATTATCATGCCGCACCGTAATGTACACTTATGCTTATGTTTGTATGTATGTATGTATGTACGTAAGAGTGTATACAAATTGAATTTCGTAATTATAAGCAAGTATTGTTGCTTCAGCGCAAACGATCGCGCATATGTACATATACATACATATGTATGTAAGTAATTATGTAAGTCTCATATTCTCGCCTCGTTTTCACTTTATCGTAGAATAATAAATTCTTTTACTTCGCGGGTAAAATTGCTTAGGTTGCAATATTGTATGGCGCATATTGGACTTCAGAATGAAAAAAAGATCATACATACATACACTCCTGATTACGAAGCAGAGAAACACAAACACAAAATTTTAACAAAAGAGGCGCAAGGAAATATTATGTTTTAAAATTTTTATGAATGCTTGCTAAAAACAAAGAAAATTCAATCGATTTAATTTCAATTGCGAGGCAAAAATTTTAAATATAGTGCTGATCATAACTATACGACCCTGATATATTGAGAAGATTTTATTACTTTTTTATTATTTTGTAATTTTTGTTATTTTTTTATAACAATATAGTTTATTCTTTATCAAAAACCGTATAAATCCAAACTTTCAAAACTTTCGTAGAAATTTCGAGCTTTTATTTACATTTCTTAGAGCCCATCAGTGTAATGAAGTGCAAGTTTGAAGTACCTGGGACTTGCTGTTGATTTTTGGCAATTTTTTTTTTTGTTTACGATGTTAATAATTTTCTTCCATACGAAGTAAGTTCGACGGCTTTTTTTATATGGAGAAAATCAGCAACACCTTGGATTTTTTGAGTTTTTGTTATAGAACAAACTATATTTTCATAAACAAATAATTAGAACTAAAAAATAATAAAATAGTCAAATCTTGTCAGTATGTGAGTGCCGTAAAATTATAATAACCACTATATGTATTTTTCTTTTCATTAAAATAATGACCACAGTTTCCACAATTTCCATCAGTGACATACTTCTATGTGACACAAATTTTACTTAAAATTATTTCAGTTATTTTTTTTTTCGTTGCTTCAAAACTTTTTTCTCCAGCTTATTTGATTATAAGCCTTTAAAGAAAAGTGTCTGAGTTAATTTTTGCATATTAATTACTTTTTTCATTTCGATTTTGAGCTAAATGTAGTTTGAATAGTTTTTCTCAATACAATTTTTATGTCAACAAATGTTCCTCTTTAAATGAGATTTATGTGCATATGAACATTAGGCCGGAGTAATTTAATTTCGAAAAAAGTGTATGGCATGTTCGAATTCTACGTTCGATTCTAAGCAAAAATGGTGAACAAATTATATACCAAAAATGACGTTTGACCCTCCCAATTTTTAAAAAGAAAAATCAGTTCACTGTAATTTTTTCTGAACGTAATTAATTTTTCATTTAGAAAATTTTGTGTATTCTTCATATTTAAGAAACTTCTTTACAAAACAAAAAAAAATTAGAAAATTATGTATAAAAAAAAGTTAAAAGAAATTACAATATACTGCTTTTTCTTTTGAAAATTGGGAGACTCAAACGTCAATTTTTATTTATATGTAGTTTCTTCGCCATTTTTGCTTAGAATTAATCGTAGAATTTGAATTTGCTATACACTCTCTTCGAAAATTTTGCTCCAAACAAATTACTCACCTGATGTACATATATATGTATGTACACTATTTTTATTTGAAAATTTACTTTGAAAAAATTTAATAACTTCCAAAAATAAATAATTTACTGCAAAAGTAATCACAGAAATCCTAATTTAAATTACAAATTTTTCACATAATTATATTTTTTATGCAATTTTTTTATTCAATTAAAAATATTAAATTTGGAGCTTTCATTACTTTATTAAATTAATATATTTTTGTCATTTTTTTTTTTAATTTTCGTCAGAAAACCTTGCTGTGTTAAAAATTATAAGCAAAATTGTTATGTGATTTTTTTTTGTATTAATTACTCATTTATTTATTTAAACCATTTAAAAGGAAAATGTTATTATTATGTTATTCCTATGGGAAAAATGAACGGGCAATGCGCGATCTCTTAAAATTATGGTACTATACCAAATACTAAAATCTGAGCCAGATTCCGGTCGCATTGCAGGATTTTTATTTTTATTTTTTTTACGTGGTCTAATACTTACACCCAAATATATAAAAAATAAATAAGACTTTATGAATCATAATTTTGTATGAAAATATCACTTTATAAAGATCTATGAATCTATTTAATTTTTTATGAATAAGGCATTAATAATTTTTTGATTTCAGAATTTTTTTGGCCTACCCTTTTTTACATTTTGCCACATTTGTTGGTGTGAATTCTCTAGAATTTACTTTAATTGACAACTGTTTCGTAATTTTTTGAATTAAATTTTTGTTTCTCAACTTTTCGCGTATCTACCCACCTTTATTTGTTTGTAAATTGTGGAAAATCGTAGTAAAAACATTTGAACTAGATGCTTTTTTTGTTTAAAAAGGATTAAACAATTTTTTATTTGGTAAAAGCAAAATTAAATGAATTATGTCTCTTTCTTGCAAATTTAGGTGTATTAAATTTTTTATTTCAATTTTTAATTTAATTTAGTTATTTGTTTTTTTTTTAATTCTTCTTGGAAAACTTATTTAGTAAAGTTTTTATATTCCGTATTTTTTTTATTTTTGAAATTTTGTATGAATACTTTTTCAAAGTTTTCACTTAAACTTTTATAAAAGTAGTTTTTTATTTACTAATAAAAAATCGATTAATCGGCTTTTTACATTTACCGAAACCTTTATTTGCGAAAACTTTTGTAAAAGCTTTACTTTTTGCTGGTCTTATTTTGAACCTGTTCACTTCAAGTTTGTTTTTCAATTCTGTGTTATCCCTTTTTATGTTTTAAAAAACTGCGCAGCACAGCAGTCCAAGTTTTTTTTTTGCTCAAAAAATTGCCAAATATTTTTTTTAATCGAAACAAATTCTTGAAAATATTATATTTTCAAAATTTTTTCTATATCACAATAAAAAAAATCACACACATAATTAGCAGCATAAATAAAATATTTATTCCGATATGTAGTTCAAATTGGTTGCTTACCTTTTTGGAAGTCAAGAAAAACGTACGTTTAATCACCAATGCAAAATTTGTACTGTGAATTCTTACTTCAAAATCTCTTGCAAGACTCCACAACTCGTTGTAGCAATATGAGCTTTTTTACGTGCATATGTGCATATGTATATTTATGTGTGCACTAGGGTGGTCCAAAATAAGTTAAGTCGGAATTTTAATGCTACGATGGTTCTATATCGAAAAAGGTATACCCTTATTCTTTATTTTGAAATCAAAAAATATTTAGAGGTCGCTCAAAGCGCTCAAAGTTTTTCCGTGTATTTTATATGGGAAAAAACTAACTTTTCGTGGAAATGGTATGCAATTCTTGAAAATCAATATTTTTCGATCGGAAAACTCTGGTTCTCTTCAGGAGACTTCCAATAAAAATATCCAATTGCTGATTTAACCATTTTTCAATGCTAAAGATTTTTTATTTATCCCCCCATTGCTTTGTCTGACATTTTCTAGGGGTTTTGGCGGACATATAAAATATAGTTACTGTGATCGAAAAATATTGATTTGCAAGAATTCTATACCATTTCTACGAAGTGGTTTTTCCACATATAAAATACATGGAAAACTTTGAGCTCTTTGAGCGACGTCTAAATTTTTTTTGATTTCAAAATAAAAAAATAGTGGTATTCCTTTTTGCGATATACATAGAACAATCTAATGGGCTGAGAGCATAAAAATTCCTACATTACTTTTTTTTACATGCATTTTTGGACCACCCTAGTGTGCACATAAGTGTGGTGAGTAAGGGAGAAAAATTAGAGCTGGCCTGTTTTAATCAGCTTTACACTACCTAAGCTTAAAAATTTGTGCCGCAAATCCCGAGGACGTTTTCTTAGGAAAACTCCATACCGTCCAATTTAAACAAAAAAAAAAACAAAATTTTTCAAAACACATACATACACATTGTTTCAATTATACGTTTTTATTGAATTTTCTTGTTAAAAAAGTGGACTGTTAACAAAATATTAGTTCAGGCCCTTACAAAATTTTATCAAATTTAGAAATTTTTTTGCTTTAATTTCTTCCATAAGTAATGCAACCCACAGTCATGTAAGGATAGCTGTTGGATCCCCTCTTTGGCTGTGGTATGTTTACTTTTTCTATAACGGTAACCTTCTTCTCAACACTATGGGTGACGCCCGTTTTTGTAGCCCTGGTTGAAACCTTTTGGCTGACAATTGTTTTTCGAGTTTTGTTTCCATTCTTGTAGGTGGTTACTGTGCGATTGGTCATGTTTTGGAATCTGGAAGAAAAGGGAGGGAAAAGCGAGACTTAAAAATATAAAAAGTTATATATATTTAAGATATGTCAAGAAAATTTTCCTACGCCACTTATTTAAAAATACATAATTAAAATGAGATACAAAATGGTGTTGCCTAATAAATTGTACATATGTTAAGTTGTCTGCACTCTTTTAGGAGTGAGATTTTTAATCTGAAACAAAAAAATCAAAATTTTAAATCGCTGTTCCAACTGAAACCGCTGTACTAGCAAATGAGCGTGACATCCTTTGCCAGGTCGATTCCAAGCATGCTGGAAATAAGCATCCAACACCAGCGGAAAAGTGGAATGTGCACCTGCAGACCTAATGCTTCTTCTTTTGTGTGAGCAAACTTTGGCAAGCGAAAGATTTCTACCCAACCCACCGAAACGCCAGGACAAAGCAGCCACAGCCGCAGCCGAAGCAATGCGCGAGCTATTTTAGCCGGGGAAGTTCAGGTGGCCATCGGGATTCCAAACGCCTTCAAAGCCTTTGGTAGCGACTAAATAGGCATGCTGATGCTAAAAATCGCCGCAAACACCCAGATAAATCCCCAGCTTAACCGTAACCGCACCTGTGAAAGAACCCTTTCAGCAGTTTTTCGAAGGCCTTCAAGGCTTCCTCTCTTCCAGATAACGCCAAATTATCTGAGTGGTCGGCAATAGTCAGTCACATTTCCAAATAAACATCAGAGGGCGTTTCACTGACCTCATGCAGTGACGATTGGGCGAAATTGTCGTGCCTGATCCAGTTCGCTTCTGCACCGCAATGAGCTTAAGCCTCTCTACCGCGAAATTCCCGGTAACCTGTTTTTACCACCTGGACCAAAGAGGTCAGGTTGTAGCTCGGATAGGTACACCAATTCCGAATTCAAACAGCCGGATAATTCAAAGGAATACTTTTAACAGCCT